TACATGCAAATGGGCATTGCAAATTTCCCAACTGTGTAGTAGTTATCCAATTAATTTGACTTCCCTCAGAATCTTTTTATATCTTTATCAATAGCTCATTATGCACTAGGCTGCTGGCAATTAGATTGAGAATAGGAAGAGTATTTTGTATAAAGATATTATTTGCAAAATTGAAAACTCTGGAAACAACCTGGATTTCTCCCCAGTGGAGGAAAGCTTATCCAATTCAACTGTAATTAGGAGCAATCCTTGGAGTCTAAATTCTTTCTCATTTGCTAGCTAGATAAGCAGGCTTTTTAGACTTCTTACTGAAGTTAATGATCTAGGAGTTCAACAGGACCAGCGCTCTGTGGCTTGTCACTACAAACCCATTTCCTTGGTTGTCACTGTTTAGTGACCCTTGTGGAAAACCCATGGGGTTCCATTATCATGTAGTCCAAAGACGTTATCAAAAATCACATGCACTGCAGAAGCCGAACCGGAAAGCAGAGTTAGCGCTAGATGTTTGTGTATCTTCGTTAACCTTTAGAAAGGGGAAGAAACTGAAGCCTGGTTCCCCATCCATGGTGTCAGCTCAGCTAACTGACCTCCGATTTGATCTTGGTTAATGTAAGGATCAGGTCTTACCCTCAGCTCTGCTGGTTTATTGGCCTTCGTGTCCTAGGAAGCCATTCCTGTTTGAAAGCTTCAAGCAGAGGGAAAGAGGCTTCACACACATTGGTCACATTGGGTTGGGAGGAGCTGAACCAGAGAAGTATCGATACAGACCCAGAGCCTTAGAGACTCTATGCAAATGCCTGTACATTGTCAGTGCTCCCTGGAGCAGTGTGGCAAATGAAAGCAGGGGAGGGCATGCAGGGACAGAGGAAGGGACCACAGCTTGATGTTGAACCATCCAGGCCTGCCCATCTCCTTCCTTATCCCCACCCCCATCCTCATGACCCTGCACACACAGTCTTCTCAGTAGCCTCCTGATCTTGGCAAAGCAGTGCACAAAAGTGGTCACTAGCCATAAAGAACCTACATGTTCCCAAGTCCCAGGTGACAATAAAATGATCATGGACAGGAGGACGACTGTAGGGCCTATCTGGGAGCGGCTACCACACTTCCAGCCCAAGACACATCTTTTGTCCCTTCTTCCCCTTCACTTCTTATTCCTGCAAAGCCCCTACAGTGTGAAGACCCCAGGGCAGGACATAAGTGCAGCTCCCTCTTGCCTCAAAGCCTCTGGCATCTGGGGTCCTGGAGTAGCCAACCCTGAGGTCCAGTGAACCTGAGACTCAACAATAGGGCATTTGCAGCTAGTCGGTAAACAGGACGCATGGCTTCTTTCCAGATCTCCCAGTGTGACCACAACAGGCTCCTTGGAGCTGCCTTTGAAGCCCAGGAGCCCAGGAGCCAAGTGCTTGCAGCCCCCGCTTTGATAGCTGCTTGCAAGGCCATCCACAATGTCTGGTCATAAGCGGAGGTTGATGAGGTTATCACAGTAACTGCTCCCGACCCCTTGCATCCAAATTACAGGCTAAAGCCACAAAATTGTCTCCCAATCAGAGGCCTCTTGCAGAACGCCCACACAGACACCAAGTCCCCTTAATCAGAGTGAAGGGGGTGAGTCCACAAACTTTGCAATGGGGGCTGTGCTGATTTTTCCAATTTTGCAAAGGACCTTGACGGTCTCCCTGTAATTTTCCTGTGCATATTCTTCTGAGGAGGTTTTGGGTATTTCGAGTCAGAATTCCACGGCAACCAGGCCAACAGCAACAAAACAGTAGAATGCAGAAAGCAATAGAGAGCTATCCATTGAGCCCCCGATGGGACATCTCCCCGGAGCCTGGCTTTCCTCAAACCTGGGCGCTTGAGTTGGGGGTGTCTTGTCAGGGGGAATCAAAGGCAGTGCCCTCTCTGTGTCTCCAAGATTTGCATATGGAGCCCCAAGCTCCCTGTACCCCACCCCAGCTCTCAGACTCAAGAGCCAGCCTCAGCTTCAGAGGGGAAGCCTTCCTGAGAGACAGCTGTGCAGTCCTCCCCTGGAGAACCCCCAGGAAGGCCAGGATGGCGGTGTGACGACCTCGAGGTCACTCAAGGCAGCAGCCTCAGCTCACCACAGGCCACTTCAGTCTGGCACCAAAGGCCGTAATGTCACACACTCCAGAAGACTAAGTGCCAAGGGCAGGGAAAGGGGAGGGTGGACCAGTGAGGGCATGCAGGGGTGAGGGTGAGAAGTGTGGACAGAGCAGTCATCTCAACAAAGAGTAATAAACACTGTCAGCACTGAGCAGCAGAGACCAACACCTCATACAGGTGTCCAGTGTCTACAGTGTCCAGCACAAGCCAGCACCACAAGGCTGCAGCCAGCTGTAGTAGTGACCAGCAGCTGGCTGTGTTCGGTCATCTGGTGAAATCAGGACTGCTAGTAGAGCTGCACTTTGCTGATTCACAATTTCCATCTGAATCGAGCGAAAGAACCTGAGACTGAGGTTGCCTTCCCATCTTCTGCCTGCCTTGAAGGAATCCTCCCCATCACACACACCCAACACCACTCACACAAAGTGTCCTAAACAAGTATAACTCTTTTTTCTCTTACGTGAAAGTCCGACCTTGTATCGTAGCACAGTCTATAACATAAAGGCTCCACTGCAGCGACATTCCTAATCTATGAGGTTCTAGATGGCTCACAGATACCTTTATGCCACCTCAGGAAGAGAGGAGAGGAGAGGGCAGGCCCTGCCTTTGAGCACTGCCCCCAAGGTTCCCTGCTGCCTCCAGTCACAACCCATTGGCCCAGACTTGGTCACATAGCCACCACCAGCAGCAAGGGAGGCTGGGAAATGTAGTATTTAACTGAGTAATCGGTGCCATGCCACTTCTTTGGCAGAAGAGAGCCTGCTACTGACGACACCGACAATACCTTCCACAAATGCCCACCCAGCAGTGCCTCTCATCAGATGGTTCTGTCTATATGATGCTTCTGGTGGGAGACAAGGGTGGGCCCTCTTTACTTAGCTTCTTTTCCAGGTGTCTCCTAGACGGCAGATTCCTACTGTGTCAGATACAGGTGTGTCCCAAGGATTATGTGATTTCTTGCCAGGAATGTAGGCCAAATTCATCTACAGTGAAAGACAGCTGGATCATGCAAGAATGTAGGGTACCCCTGAGCCTGAAATCTGGGGACCAGGTTAGCGCTCCTCCCCCCATGATGGGGAGCCCCCATGTGGCTACAACCTGATAAAACACAAGGTTTAGCTCAGGTCTTCCAAGGGCAGGTAAGGAGTCGGGGAACCTGGGAAAAACCCTAGCGTCTTTTGGAGTTGTTTCTGGTTGGATTTTTTTTTTCTGGTTACAAACGTATTATTTATTTATAACAGAATATGGTTGATGAAAATGTATACAGTAGAAAAGGAGGGGATATCACTCCTACCACCCCAGAGTCTTCCACTTTGTCACACGTCCTTCCAGCCGGCTGTGCATTTCTTCTGTTTTGCTAATGCTTGTTCGTGCTGTGTCCCTGCATCTCGTATCCTGTGGACTTGCCCAGGCTCACCACTCCCTCCCCTCTTTTCGGACTGGGGTTTGTTCTATGGTGCATCTTGTATGTTTAATACCTGGCAATATGCTCATATGATGCAGCCTGTAAGTGTTCCCCAAGAGGGTGCCCTCATGCTAGTTTTTGGTTCCAGGTAACCAAGCCTGTTACGATTTTATATCCCCGGAGGAGAGCCTTGTGCGCTCAAAAGCGGGGCTTCTGAACGGTGATTGGGTCGGGGGATTGTAGCCAGCTTGTTTTTAGGAGGTAGAGTCTGGTCCAAAGTGGTGGGTTACGGGGGGCGGGGGGCTAGAAGGGTTTATTTCCCTCCCCAGCTCCTCCCTTCATGCTCTGCCTCAGTCCACCAAGACATCAGCAGCACTCCTCTGCCACAGCATCCTGCCTTGGAGCCAGCTGGCCTTTGAAATGTGACGGAAAGTTTCGGGTGCTTGGTACTGTGTCTCAGCCGTAAGAAGGTGACTAAGATAACACCCATGCCGGAAGTGTCAGCAGAAAGGAAAACAGATGCAGAACAGGAAGGAGCCAGGGAGGGAGGACAGCACAAATCATGACCAAAGTGAGCCCAGATCCTGCCTCAACAGGAGGACATACTGTCCCCACAACATGCATGCACACCAGACCCGCAGCACACCCACCATGGCCTTGTCACCAGACCCCAGGGCCCTCTAATGGATACCATGGACCTCACTGCCTGAATCTGGTTCCTGCCCCATCCTAAGCACAAAGGATTTTCTATCTTTCTCTAAGTTTCTCCACCACTAGCTCCCAAACCAAATTGTGGTCCAAAAAGATGTAATAAAGTATATGATTTATAATGACACCTGTACCAGTTAATTTGCTGTCTCTGGGACAAAATATCTGGCATTCACAACTTAAAGAATGAAAGGTCTATTTAGGCTCACATTTCAGAGGATTCAGTCCATGGTTGGCTGGCTCCAAAGCAAAAACATGATGGTAGAAGGGCATGGTAGAAGGATGGGGTGGAAGAAAAGTGCTCAAGCCATGGCAGTGAGAAAACACAGAAAGAAGGGAGGAGCCAGGGACAAGATGACCAGCCTCCCACCAGGCCCCACCTCCTAAAAGCACATTTAGATACTAAATTTGTGTGCCAGGGATTTAGCTCAGTGGTTCTGCCACCTGCCTCACAAGCACAAGGTCCCGAGTTCGATCCCCAGTATCAAAAGAAAAAAAAAAAGATACTGAATTTGTCAATGGATTAATCCACTCATGAGTATAGCACCCCCGATCCAAACACCTTCTAGAAGTCCCACTTCTGAATACATGATATTTCTGCAGACATCATACATAGATCCAAACCATAACACCAAAGTCAAATATATAGAAAGATATCTAATAAAACATGCACAAAACAAACACACATAACAGTAATGAAATTAAACAACACTTTTGTCAGTTTCTGGCACTGTAATGAAATGCCTGTGATTACGGTACTCACTTATAAAGAAAAGAGGTTTGTCATGGCTCAGAGTTTGAAGGTTCCAATCTAAAACCCGGCAGACTTTTTGCTTTGAGCCTCAGGTGGGCTTGGAGGATGGTGGTGGCAGGGAGAGGATGACACAGCCAACTGCTGACCCTGTGGCCAGGAAACAAAAAAAGAAAGAGGCCTGAGTCCCAGTAAGCTTTTTGAGGAGCCACTCCAGGGACCTGAAATCTCAACCCAGGCTTCCTTCTGAAGGCACCACCGCCTTTCAACAGCACCTGGCTGGGAACTAGGCATTTAGCACCTGGGCCTTTTGGGGATCATTCAAGATCCAAACTATAGCAAAACCTAAGGAAACAGAGGGCTATGTCAAGGCCTACATTGACAAGATGAGTGATTTGATTGTGCCTATGTTGATTCCCACCAAATTAGTCTACAGATTTGGTATGATCCCCATCAAACCTCAGTGTTTTGTGTGTGTGTGTGTGTGTGTGTGTGTGTGTGTGTGAAAGGATACTGAAATGCATATGCAAACCAAAGTTCTAAGAATACCCAAAGCCCCTGTAAAGGACAAACAAGTCAAGAGGACTCAGTCAACCTGCCATCACCTTACTTCACCTGCAGTAAACCTAGCACTCTGGAAGGCTGAGGCAGGAGGATCGAAAGTTTGAGTTGAGCCTGGGCCTCTTAATGTCTCAATGAGACCATCTAAATTTTTAAAAAGGGCAGAGGATGTAGCTTGCCTGGGTCCTAGTACAGGAAAAAAAAAAAAAAAAAGCTGGGCTGGGGATTTAGCTCAGTGGTGCCTTGCCTGCCTCTCAAGCATAAGGTCCTGAGTTCGATCCCTGGTATGAAAACAAAAACAAACTTCCTTGTGGTAACCTAAGCAGCACTGAACAAGGACCGAGAAACCAAAAGATACAAAAGAACAGAAAGTCCATACATAGACCCACGTTGCAATGCACCTGACTTCTACTTAAGTCACTACTGCCCCACTTGGGAGAATGAACCATTTTTTTCTATAAAAGATGCTGATATGAATCCTAGCCCAATCTCAAATTTGGAACAACTGGATTCCAGTCCATTGAGAATCTAGAAGAAAAAGGAAAGGTAGCCGGGAGCCTGGGGTTCTTCCTCCCTCAGCCTCATGTCCTGCCACTGGGTGCACCTACTTGGCCTGACACAAGAGTGGTTACTTTCACAGCAATGATAATTTTTCATGCACAGTTGCTGTGATTCTAGACTGCAGAAGAAGCAAGAAACAAGAAGCAAGAGAAAGGAGGAGGGGAGAGATCAGCAACTGGAGGGCAGGACCAAGCAGCAGGCATGAGCATAGTTTAGACAGCGTCTTGGAAAGGGTCAAGGTTTCTCCTGAGTATCACACCACAAGAACTCCTTCAGGTGGAGTTTAAATCCAAGGGTAAACCCATGTACAAGACAAATGAAAGTGGGCATCTATATCAGCTTGCACACCCATGTCCACAGCAGCATTAGTCTCACAGCCACAAAGTAAAAATGACCCAAATGGTTCTCAGAAGATGGTGCTCTACAATGTGCTCTACCCATATGATGGAGTATTATTCAGCCACGAAAAGGAGCTAAGTACAGATATGTGGATGAGCCTTGAGAACGTCTTGCCAGAGGCTCCATGTTGTCTGATTCTACTCATATGAGGTGCCCTGAACAGGAAAAGCCCCAGAGACAGAAGGCAGATCAGGGTTGCCAGAGGCTTTAGAGAGGAGGTGACTAACTGCTAATGGGTCCAGGGTTTTTTGGAGGAAGATTACAGTGTTCAAACGAGATGGTTGTGGTAGCTGTACAACCTTAACAACGGCCAAAAGCCATTGGATTATACACTTTAACTGGGTGAACTTTATGCTCTGTAAATCATATCTTCATGACACTTTTTGTTTAGTTTTGAGATAGGGTCTCACTACATTATTCAGGCTGGTCTTGAACTCACAGTGATCCTCCTGCCTCAGCCTCCCAAGTACTGGGATTATAGGCACTGCAGCATCACGCTGGGCTTCACTTGGTTTTGTTTTTTTTGTTTGTTTGTTTGTTTGTTTTTTTTGACAACCTTGCAACTCCCAGGCCCTTCATAAACCTCTTCCCACCTGCATTCTGGAAAGACAGCTACAAGCATTGCAGATCTAAGGTCTCGCTCTGCGCTCTGGGCTTGGGTTATCAGGACATCAGAATGCACTGTTGCCCTGTGCCCCTCTGCCCCAGAGCTGACAGGTGGAAGAAGGTTCAGAGCTCTCCACCTTCCTCCCGTCTGCCTCCGCCTGCCTCCGCCCTCCACAAGGGTCTGACCTACTTAACCCTCATCCTTATCTTTCATCGCTGCTTTCCAAACAGTTACCTCTATTACCTTGAAGCTTGCGTGGGAATTTGCTGGTGGGTGGATTCAAGCTTGGCTGCGGCAGCCAGAGGACAGGAGCAGACGGGAGAGGACCCAGACCAGGCAGGGGCAGGCAGGGCATCCCAGGCCCGGCTCCTTCTGGGAAAGCCCAGGTTCACTTTCCCAGCAAGCTCCTCTCCCTCCGAGGCTCTTCTCCAGCTGCAATTCCTCCCTACCTGCCCTCTGGGGAGGGGATCCCTCACCGATTTATTTCAAAAGAAATCCAAAAGGAAAGAGGAAACTTTGCTTGCCCAGGATGAGGCAGCAAAAGATCTTCAAAGTAGATTTGCCTTTGGGTAGCTGTCACTGGAGCAGCAAGGCAGCACCCTCCTCCCGGTGACCTGGCTCTCTGACTCGAAGGACCTGGGGGGGCAGCTGGCTGTGACATCACCAAGGGGCTCCTGTCCTATGCACACCATTTCTAGAATGTGTGATGCTCAGGGGAAGAAAAAGGAAAGTCCTGGGTGGCCCTGTGAGGTCAACACCATCACTGTCTCCATTTTGCAGGTGAGAAAAACTGGCCACAAACAGGAGTTGGCAGAGCTGCGACCAGAACCCAGAAATTCATGTTGGTGCAAGAGTCACCACCAAGTCAACAGGGCTTGTAGGGCGGAAAGAAGGCGGAAACACCCCTGCCTCTGGGAGGAGCAAGGCAGAGGCACTGGTATGGCCACTGCCTGCAGAAGGCACCTGTAATCTCAACTACTGGCGAGGGTGAGGTGGAAGGATCACGAGTTCAAGTTCGAGGCCAGCCTGGGCAACTCGAGTCCCTCTCTCTCTCTCTCTCTCTCTCTCTCTCTCTCTCTCTCTCTCTCATACACACACACACACACACACACATACATTTTAAAATAAATAAAACTAAGGATGTAGCCCAGTGGTACAGTGCTTGCCTAGCATGCAAAAACCCCTGGGCTCAATACCCAGTACTACACACAAACACACACACACACACACACACACACACACACAGTCTATGAATCATTTCTCAGGTTCCCAACAGAAAACTCCAGGAAGATAGGGGCCATACCAGTCATGTTTGGGCTCCCAGATCCTGCACCCAGGCCTCTAACTCACCCCAGCACAAAATCCTAGGCAGATACAAGGATCTGATCACCAGCTTCATGCTGGTATGTCCCAGCTGGGTCCCCTTCTTTAGCTGTGGAGGGTGGAGCAGTGGCCTCCAAAAAGATCTGTCCATCCTAACCATGAGAGCTGCAGCCTCATTTGAAAACAGGATCTTTGAGGATGTTAATAGGTTAAGGATGTTGAAACGAGGTGATCTGGGGTTAACCAGGTGGGCCGTGCAGACAATGACAAGAGTCCTTGGAAGAGACCAAACAGGAGACACAAAAAAGAAGGCCACAGAGAAGGAAGCAAGGGCTGGACAGCACTGCAGTAAGGAAAGGGACACTGGAGCCACAAGAAGCTGAAAAAGACAAAAAGCACCCACCTCCAGAGACCCTGGAAGGAGGCAAGGTAACCTGGCTAACACCTTTCAGCTTCTTGCCTCCAGACTATGGGTGAATAGATGCCTGGTGCACACGAGTGTGTGTGTGTGTGTGTGTGTGTGTGTGTGTGTGTGTGTGTTTTACTGAGGACTGAACCCAGGGCCTTCACATTGAGCTACCTCCCTAGCTATTTTTTATTTTTTATTTTGAGACAAGTTCTCGCTAAATTACTAAATTGCTCAGGCTGGACTCGGACTTGGCATCTTCCTACCTCAGCACCCAGGAATGCTAGGATCACAAGTGTGAGCCACCACACACAGCTAAGATCCCAGCGTGTGTTCATTTGTCACAGCAGCCGTGCTCGGGACACCCATACCACTCAGCTCCCATGGCCAAAGAAGGGGGAGGCTCATGCTGACAGGGACAAGCACCAGGCTCACCCACTCACCTGCTCTAGGGAGCCGGTCAGTCCTGGAAGGCATTTCACATCCAGGTGGGTCTTTCTTTTGGACCCCCTCACCGCGGCTTCCCACATTGTGTGCTTATTCCCCAGGACATAACTGTCATCCTCCCAACATGTCCTGTCAGGGCTGCAAGGGCAAGGACTGAAGCTCCTTTGGTGGTCACAAACAGAAACACCTCATCCATGTCAGGCTGCCCTGCTGAGCACCTCTCACATGCTAAGCACAGTACTAGAGACAGGAGAGGAGACCCCATCCTGGACCCCGGGAGCTCACAGAGGGCTGGTCGGTCAGCAACTGCAGCACCAATGTCACATTCTACCCGAGACCAGCTGTCTCCAGGTTAGACAGTGGCCAGAGTCCTCAGTCCAAAGGTGCAGTGGATAGGGGGTGCCGGGGGTCCTGAGGCCACAGGGATGACTGTCAGGCTGCCAAGTCCAGCAGCCCTTGCTCCCCAAGAGGGTCCCACAGCAGCTAAATATTTAACCTGCAGGGAGATACAGTAGACAGGGCCAACCAGCAGGCTGTGCCCTGCCATGGGCCCTTGCAAGACATCAACTACCTTTGGCCTCTGTGGCTTCCTGACAGGTACCTGTTTGCCCCCAACTGTCACAGCTTCACTGGTGACTGTGACCCCGTTCACCTGAGCAGAATGGCCATTACAAAGCAGGGTGGCTGGCACCCAGGCAGACCAGGGCACAGCCTTCCACTGCTTGGCCTCTTTCATCTGCAGAGACCCATCCTCTTAATTCTGTCTCTCATCCTTTAGTTGACACTTAAAGCCCTTAATCTGTGCGCCTCTTTTTTAAAATCAGCTTTTTACCCCCTTTGCGGGGAAAGGAGCGACAGGGATGAACAAAGATGAATGTGGCTGAACTTTCATTTTAATTTAAAAGTGTCTTCTATGATGTCAATCTCCTGTCCATAAACAGCTCAGGGGAAGTCAGCGAAGAGAAGTGAACTGATTCATCGTAAAGTCATTTTTAAAATCCTCTTTCTGAATATAAAATGAAATGTTTAATTAATTCCACATACTGCATGCAGCACATGGCCTCCGTTCTGCATGAGAACAAATACATGAATGAACTGAACAGGCCCTGACATATGCCAGGCCCTCTGCTAAATGCCTCACACACATTACCTTAATTACTCTTGGCTGTGGCCTGGCGAGGGAAACCATCACTCACCCTTCTACAGAGGGGGACAGAGATCCGCCCAAAGCTGCCCCTGGCCAGGGAGGGCTGTGTGACACTCTGCTGCAGTTTGGGAACCACGGCCGCCAACTTCCCGGCCTCCTAAGAAGAAGAGCTTTGTCTTACATGAATGCTTAAAGAAGTCCGTTGTGACCCATGAACATCTAAAGACCCCGTAAACACAGTGTCTGACCGTGTCCATGCCACCCTATGAGCCTAACAAGGCTCCTTTGGGCCTCACTCAGTGTCTTCATCTGTTAAATGCACATAAACCATGGGCTGGGAGGAAATACCTCGCTGAAGTAAGGAAGGGAGGTGGGTGAGTATTGAAGCCTTTCTCTCCACCCCACAGGAGTGGCATGTGTGGCCCTCACATAGTTCCTTGACTAGAACCTCAAGGAACTTTTAAGGGAAAGGGGAGCACTCTGGTCTCATCCAGGTGCAATAGCAGTTTTCCTGCCCCATTCTGCCTCCCCAGGATGGTGAAAAGAGCCCTCTGTCCAGGAAGGCACTCAACAGGAGCCTCAGAACCCTCTGACCGATTAAGACTGGCATGTTGGGCCTAGGGGGGCCACAGAGCATCCCAAGCACACCCTGAACCTCGAGGGAGAGCCAGACATCCAGTTACTTCAACTCACCAGCTCAGGATTCCTGAGTGTGTTGCACTGTTATCTTAAACTGACGGGGCCAGGGCACTACAGGATTAAAAAAAATAAATTTATAGCAGCCAGGCGAGGCGACACACGCCTATAATCCCAGCACTCTGGGAGGCTGAGGCAGAAGGATCACAAGTTTGAACCCAGCCAGGCCACTTAACAACTTAGTGAGACCCATTTTCAGAATTTAAAAATTTTTTTAAATGGTACTCAGAGAAAAGCCTAGGTTTCAATGTCTAGTAAAAAAGTAAAAAGAAAAACAAAGTAGGTAAAGTTTATGAACATTTTCCTACTTGCAAAGCACGTTCTGGGTTTGCATTTCCCAATCCCAACGCACTGCACTGTGCCACCGACTGAGTCTCAACAAGAGAAAAAAACGATGGAAAGCACCCGAAGACAGTAGCTCCTCCGCAGCCCCCAAGGCTGGCAAGGCCTAATGGTCACCGGTCCGGTTCTGTAGGGTTCCCAGGAAGGACAGTCACTCTGTGACGCACAGCGATGGAGCCTTAGCACCCTCCTTCCTGCTCCTCTTTACAAACTAACATTTATCACACCGGCAGCACCGCTCTCCCCCCTACGTAAAACAGGACCCCCAGCTATTCGCCCGCGTTCGCAGCTCCCGCGCCACTGAGGGGACACGTGCCGCACTCCGGCGCGTGCTAGGTGGTCCGCATGCGCTCGGGAGCCGCGGGTGCGCGTCAGCTCCACGCTTTACGGTAGGCGCGGCGCGCAGG